TTTCTTGCTCATTGTTCGAGGCCAGTTTTAATGAGTTTACGGAGAGTAGATGCGCATTTGTCGCGATTAAATTAAGCCAATAATGGCGTCACGTGCCGACGACTAAATCGGATTCGATACGTGAACAAGGAAAAAGTGGCATGGAGTGAATTACACACCTCCCAACTGAATTACTGTACTTATTTCTGTGACACGTCGTGGATGAAAATTTTATTTTCGCTCAATGCGTGATTATTCTTGACGGGAAAAACGCCCAGTTTAATGTCGGATTAACGCAAACATATGGTAATGCAATGTCCTCAACCTCAAAATGACGTCACATGAAAGGGTTTGTTGGAATTACTCCCTAAATCCCTCTTGTCCGGCATAACGCGATGTGTCATCTCGCAGAATTCAATCTAAATCATTGCGTATGACCGCTCCTGACGTTATTACATTTCATTCTCATTCAAATTAGATTTGAGCCACTCTTTGACGCCAACAAAAACAAAAGGCATGCGGGATTTTTCACCAGATGAAATTTTATCAAACGACAGCGGATTTAATTTGACCATTGGATAAAAACTCGCGCACGCTTTTTCGACTTAATGCCGGACATACTAGTTGCAGTATTTTTTATTTTTGTTGCAGTTTTTGATTTGTCCGCTATGTTAACTGTTTTGTTTTTTTAAGTTTATCTAGTCAAACTATTTTGTTAAAAAATGAGAAACGAAAATAGAAAATGCGCATCCCTAACACAGCTTGCTGGCGCGAAATTTGAATTCATGCATTTCAATTTTCTCCTTATAAAGGAAAATCCAAGCGGATTTCAAATTTGATCAAATCTAGCTCCTGATTCAATAATGAAAAATTGCATGATTGAATTCTGATGAGACAAAAAACTCATCAAAAAACAGTGAAAAAAGTATTTCAAAGTCATAAAAAGCATCGCGATGACGATTTGAGTTTTATTATAGATATAATTTTTCATCTTTTTTATAACCTAAAAATTTAATTGTCTTGATATTGAAGTTAAAATTTTTAAACATATTATTATTTTAATGGCAACAGATTTTTATGTTTTGTTTACAGAGTTTACATAGAGTTTAATTTAAACCAATTTGTTTAACTCATTTTGAACGTGACTAAAAATTAAATTAATTAAATTTTGATACAATACAGTGTTATTATAGAGATACACCTGTTTTGTGTCTTTTTTAAGATTTCACTAATAACAATTCTACAGCAGGGAGCATAACCTACTTTTCTGTTTTAATTACGAGCACAAATCTAATTACACTTATTACTGAATACAGTTTTAAATACGGTTCAAATTGCATTTTTTCCAGTTTTTGATTTGCAAACTCCGGTGTTAAGCAAATCTAGTTTTCTATAATGCAGTCATCCATCACGTCCACTTCAATAATGCGTGAATTTTTGAAAACGAAACACCGAAAACTCGTTCGATCTTCGTGTTTGCCCCGAAAGCAACAAGATGATGAATGGATAGCGGCGTAAGTTGACGTTTGTTCCAGACCCGAAGGCTTGTTTGTGCCCCAGCTTAAAACTTAGACAGCCACTAATGAAACGACTACTTATCTAAGATTTAACCTTTGAAGCTGCTCCGGAACGAATTTTTCATAATGGCAAATCCGGATTAGTGAAAAATTACAATCATGTTTCGGCCGAGTCATCGAAATGCGAAACGAAAAGACTTTACGCAGTCTTTCGCGAAAACAAAACGAATCGGAAAAATGTTTCAGCAAAAATAAATCCTTCTATTTCTAAAACCTTTAAATATATATTTTTTAAGTTTATTGCTTGTTAGAAACCTCATGTTCTAAAAAGTAAAAACTTAAAAAAGGCCGTTCGTAGCAAACCTTTAGAGTAGGTAATTCGATTCACTTTTAATTAGAACGTAATGAATGAAAGGATTAAACTAACTGAAACTTAATATCTCCTCCGTTTCTTGGCGTCTCTTGAATAAATGTCTCCCCAGTCCCCATTTCCGCAAACCTCTTTCTAATAATTGTAAATGACATGAAAAGTGATACGCGATTTTTCCGTGTCGTATCGTAATAAACCGTATCATTAGGTTGCGATTTTCTCGCCTTCATCCTTTTTTCTGAAGTGTATTGGGGCGTAGATGACACCCCATCGATGCCAGATTTCCGTTTTAAAAACTCGCCCCGTGTACGCCATTTCACAAATTTGTTTTCGTTGGCGTTTCCTGTGGAAACATGCGTTTTTTTCCTTTTTATGAACTGTAAAATAAGTGAGTAGAACACCAACTACCGCTCTTCAAATTTACATGATGGGATAAAAGTAATTTAATCATACAGTCAGGACGAGAGAGATATAAAAAAATTCATCCAATTACGATATTCCTATAAAGGACTGGAGTTGGATTAGGAGATGAAAATTATTTGCAACAAAAATACACCTGACACGTGTTGACTAATCTTTGGCTTAATATTTATGCCAATTAGGGAGAGTAAACTGATGTAAATTAAAAGCTACCCACAGAAAAGTTAATTAAGGCCAAAACCGGGTCTCAGGTGTTTGTAATAAGAACGTCCGGAATTTAATTTAATAAACACTGACATCAAAAGATGAAACAATGGCGAGATAAGACAAGTCCCTGAAATGTCATAAAACAAATTTGAGACGAGTTTGAATTAATTTCGGCTGAAAGCACGGCTTTGACGAGACCGGACTGTCTAATTGGAATGCCCGATCGAGGACGACAATTAGGGGCAATTAATTTCGACACTAATTGGCGTTAAAATTGATACTTTTTGGGAGGAAAATCGGAGAAAAGGTGTAAACAAATTTGATTCCATTTACTGTAGGTACTTTCTAATTATATTTTTTCAAAATAAATGTATTTGTATATTGTGGTTAGAAATTGGTGAACAAAGCCACTTTCGAGGCAATTTCACCTCAATTAAGTGTTAAAATACAATGGGAACGCCTTAAAGAGCAAATACTCGCCCTCACGATAATAGAATTTGAAGCAAACGTTTTCCGAATTTACAGCCGCATTGAGAGAAAACACCCGCTAAATCGCATCCTTATCTTTAATTACCCTGAAGTATCGAACGCTATTTTCGAATTAGCATGAAAGAGCTATCGAGAGGATAGAACGACTCTCCTAGCAATTTTGGAATTTTGAAAGCGACGATAAGTTAAAAATAATTCAGTGTCTCTTAAAACGAGTCATTAACGTTCGACGTACTTTAGGAGCACATTAGCAAAATGTGTTAGGTGATCACTTCTTAAACAAGGAGCCAGTCCTGAACGTGACTGCCATTATTCACTCCACTCTCCCCGGTTAAATCTCGCACTTATATTACCTTTAAACGTGCTGTTTACGCCCAAGAAGTAAACACGTTTAAAGCTATTACAAGAAAACTAGCCCCCCAAAGGCCATTTACACGGAATTAATTGATGCGGCAAGTAGTGTCGCTGGATTGGAATACCGCAATGACTGGTTTTGCACCATGATTTATAGGATGGAGAAACTCCTTGAGGACATGGCAGTTACCGTGGCTACGAAATTTGCAAGTATATTCATCAATCTCACTTTTTTAAAGAGTTCAAGGCAATAGCAGCTGTTGTTTTAATTAAATTGTTTGTATTTATTTGACAAAAGGTTTGCATTTTCAAATTGAGTTGTATTTGAGTTTTAAATGCTTATGTGTATATTTTGTGTTTATCGATTGACAACAAGTGTTTAGACAAACATGACGACTTCATCGACACGGTTCTGTAGATATTGTACCATAAATGACAAAAAGCATCGGAATTACAAAAAGAAAACATATTCAGAAAGTGGAAATAATTTTTCTTTCTGCATCTGTTCTATCTTTTTAGCAAAGGATAAAAAAATATGTGTACACCACAGGGGCCAGCAAGTAGCTTGAAACAGCAAAGATTCCAGCCTTTTTGTTTAGTAATTAGAATGTCCGCAGCCTTTAAACTTGAAGTAGATAATTAGCTCGCAACTTCTGGCCGTCGAAAATTAGATTACTTTATTATGTGGTTGCAAGTCCCGACTAATTAATAGTTGGGATAAAAACCGTCTGCCAAGTCGGGTCAAACTTGAAACAGCCGTTAAGAGAATGAACGATAAATCATTTAAATATGTAAAACCTCCTTTACTTCCGGTCGGTGAATCCGGAAAGCATGTCACAACGAGATGAATAAAGATAAGCGCAATTCGGCAAGAATATTTCACATCAAACAGCTTGAAACATCGAAGCTTTAAGCTTGAAAGCTTCGTTCTTTTAAGATTACAGCAAAGTTTATACGGGTATCGTTCAGGATTCGTCGACGTTTACGTTAAAGCGCATCTAAAGTTGATGCAAGAGTTTTAAAGCGCGCGTCGGATCGATAACGCCATTATTAACATTTATAACTAATTACGGTTTAATTTGATCGCTCTATTTATTAAGCCTTAAACAAAACGCACCTTCCTGACTAATTCACAATTTTCATTAACAGCGCATTCATGCCTTAAAGTCGTTATTTTAAGACTAATAAATATGTAACACATAAATTTACGCTCGAGGCCCCTTTTGTGCTCCGGATTCCGTTTACAACACAAATTCCTCCTACATTATCTACAATTATACATTCCTGGCTATTCCAAATTTATTACAATTGATCCTTCTAATTACACGTTTTGTCAAATCACATCAAAAGCCGACCGATTAATAAATCAAGAGCGCAACCGTGACACTGACACGCCCTTAAAGCTTAACCGACAAGGAGATTGTTTAACAGTTAACAGCTGACTCCTTAGACAAGTCACGAGCTTTCAAAGCAACCCCAGAATTAACATTTTTGGATTACAGAGCTTTYACGTGTCCTAAAGTGCAACCGTTGCGTAACGTATAAATTATGCATTCGGAAGTTTTATAAGATTTCGGCCCTCTTCATCATTCCGTCTTAATTAGACGTAAAAAAGTCATCAAGCGTGTAATAAGGAGGGTAAAAAAAACAAGTTTTACGAAACATTAATTTTAATTTAATTAACAATCTTACATTTTTGTACAGTGCGGTTCATAAATATATACCATCTAAAATTATATGTATAAATTGTAAAAGCTTTTTAATCAAAATATCAATGTTAAGACAAAATCACACAATAACTTAAATTAAGTACTTAATTAGTTCGCATCGAGGAAAGTTGGGACTTGCCGCTTTGTCGTTGTGGTGAAACGGATTAGTGACAAGTCACCGGACTGATGCAAGTTTACACGAAATGTAGCATAGGAATGATTATTTCACCGCCAAATTAAACAATTTCCATTTCATCCAAAATTCTTATTCTCTAACAGTGTTGGGAAATTATTGAGTTTGGCATCAAATATTCGCGTGTTTGACACAGAATAGGCCGTATAAAATTGCAGACTCGTTGTTTCTCAAAAAATATTCCATCTCCGTTAATTTAGCACAATTCACAGCTCGTTTCGAAACATTTCCGAAAAAAGGAAGACATCCGTTCATTCACTCGGCAACCACTCGTCAAAAATTATATTTACAAAAGAGAGAAAATCGAAGCGGATTTCGCGTCACAAACTCTACGGAACGAAATTATCAGTCTTTCACGTCCCGTTGCTGATTGCATGTTCTTTTTTTATTTCGTCGATGGTCGAGACGGACACTTTTCTCTCACCGTCCAGAGGGAATTTGAAGCTGAGTTCGCGCTCATCGCCGAACAGAGGGCTGTGGTTTTCGAAAATGGAGTCCCCGTCCATTGCTAACTTGTCCTCGTGAGTGTAGTATTTGGCGGCGTGTCGGCGCGAGTAGAGCAGAACTCCCAACACCCCCACGACTGTGAAGAAGAGGAGAGCCACCGAAGTGCCGGCGGCGATCAACCCCAGACGACCGTCATCGCCGAGAAGAAAAAAGTTGGCATCGCTGGCGGTCGAAGGGATGGTACACCAGGTAAGTTCATGGAAATGCAAAGCTCCAAGTTTCATCCCTAAAGACAAAAATAACAGTTTTGTTCAAATATGGAGAAATGAGTACCTTTGAGAGAGTAAGGTTGGGCGCACTGGAGGTTCCTGATGGCGGAACTCCGGTTGGCTCTTTCAAGCAATGGCACGATGTGGCACAAGTCACAGGCCCAGGGGTTGTCGTCCATCTCCAGCCGCTTCAAGTGGTCGAGTCTGGCTAACAAGTCGTTATCCAAGCCGACGAATTTGTTTCCGGTTATATCGAGTTCGGCGAGACTTTCCGGGAACGTTTCCGGTGCTAACGAGGAAATGTAATTGTTTCCGAGACTTAGTACTTGAACGGTGTCTGGAACAAATTTCCCCAATTCAAATAGGCCACAATCCGTTAAATGTAGTTCTTTTATGCGAAGGTCATTTAGCAATCTTTTCAAGGTGTGAACACTTAAATGATTTCCATTGAGTGAAAGAACCTCCAAAGTGCCAGCAACAGGTTCCAGCAGGCCGTTTTCAAGATTCTCGAACTTATTGTGACTCAAGTCCAATTCGGTGAGATTATGTAAATTGTCGAAAGCGTTGCGAGATATTTTCGTGATGCGGTTGCGTGCGAGAGTCAGTCTTTTCAATTCGCGTTGATTGGGAAATACTGAGCTTTTGATGGCAGTGATTCGGTTACCGTCCAATTTCAAATGACGAAGATTAGTCAAGGGAGAAAATTCCTCAGATGTGATCGAAGTCAGCAAATTATCACCCAGATCCAAGTGCGTCAAATGGGGCAATAACTCGTACACTTGCTTATCGATTTTGGTCAAACCACAAGAACGGCATTCCAGAGATTTTAGTTCCTGAAACATTCACAACAAAAATGTTTACATACTTTTACAGTGCGGTGAAAAGAAATTAATTTTTTTGCACACGTGATTCAAAATTATTTAATTACCCTCACGTCCTCGAACACCACCGGATTCAACTCCTGCAGATGATTCCCGCTCAGCTTCAACACCTTCAACTTGCCAATCTCGAGGAAAATCCTCGGAGTCAACTCCGTAATTCTATTCCTCTGAATCGACAAGACTTTCAACTCCTCCAAGAAGCGAAACGTGCCGCTCGGTAGCGAACTGATCCTGTTATCGTCCAAGTACAACTCCTTCAGCCTCATCAAGCCCCTAAAATTGTGATCGAGCGGCTGAGTGATATTATTCTGGGACAGATCCAATACGTCCAGTTTCTTCAATTTCAGAAAAAAGTGCATTCCCAGTTGAGGGATGTTGGAGCGCGTGATGTAAATCTCCTCCAAGTTCTTATAGTTGGAGAAGATCGGACTCATGGTAAGTTGATTCATGTTGTCTTCCGGTGCTGTGATTTTCAGCACTTCCGTGTCGGAGCTCATGTTGAAAAGGTCGAGAGGACCGACGATACCGCCGTCTTTGCACAAGACGGCGTTGCGGCCCTTGGGGTCGAGGTAGCAAGTACACTGAGGGGGGCACAATGCGGATAAGGAACAGCAGAGGGACGCTAAGATTAAAAGTCGAAGAGCCATGCTGGAACAAAGAAATATTTGAAATTAAAAATACATTTCTTTCACTTTTATATAGGGTGCGCCAGAACTCGCGCCCCAGAGATAAATGCCATATAAGGTAAGATACCAAGAACATGGAAAAAATGATAAAAAAATTTTATCTATAAAAATTTCGAAGTTATGAAGGTTTGAAGTTTGCACTTTGACTCTATTTATTTCTGTTGGAAAAATGATTTTCAAAATCATCAGTATCATTAAATAGATATAAAAAAATGTCAAATGTCAAAAACTAAATGTCAAAATTTTTTGATAGAATTTTTTTTAATTCATTTCATGTTCCTGTATCTTACCTTACTTGAAAATTTTCTCTGGGGCGCGAGTTCTGGCACACCCTGTATTTAAAATGTGGCACAAATTACCACCTTTTTCTCGCCTTTAGATAAATGTTGAAAACATATTAACAAAAAATTAAAATTTAGTTTAGGTATCTGAGATTTCACATTGTGAATAATAATTCTGGAATAAACAGTACACTGAGAAAAAAGCAAATGCTAGAACAAACAATTTTGCTTTTTTGAATTTTATTCTTTTAATCAAAATGATATTTATTTCGGCTAAACAAATGTAATTTACTTTAAGCATCTGGAAATATTTGTTCCAAGTAACAAAAAGTGTTACAACTATTTATTTTGACTCAATTACAATTACGCATTAATACCGAAATTTGTTTCATGAAAAAGAATTTTATTTATTTTCACACTTATAAGTTACTTCCACGAACAAATAAAAGTTTCTGAATGAAACCGTTAGTTGTTGTTTTTAAACAAAAATTGTTTTTAAATCAAAGTTCCATTTATTCGGATAACACTATACATTTTTTAAATTAAAAACTTGTGGTTTCTTTTCAATATGTGTGTGCATTAATTCAAGTGTTAATGTGTTTGACTCGGTGTGTCTCCATCCAGTAGCACATTTGCACCTCGCACGTTGGAGCCGTAGTTTGAAGTGCTGATTGATAAGTAGGTAAGTGATTAATTAAATATTTCTATGTATCAGGTAGGTTTATTTGTCTTTTAAGAATGTTTTTACTGATTTTTGAACGCCAATCTTATGAATCAATAATAATAAGTATACCTACACGTTTTCTGTTCTAAAATCATAATAAAACCGTTAGTTATGGCTTCCCTTTCTACGTAAAAAACAATCGAAAGTGTTGATATTTGTTTTAATATTATACTAATAACACACATATTTTTTTTWWAAATAGTATAGTTTTTAATTGCTATGTGAGAAATAGCTTAAGAAATTTTTCTTAGGTTTTGTGTCCAATAAATAAATAATATAATGGATGAAGTGAGCAAATTAATTACCGAGTGGGGGTTCGAAAAATATATCCCAACTTTCGAGAGTAAGTTTATATTTTTCCGACTTTTGTGTTTTTGCATCTTTGTCTAAATGTGGTCCATTATTATTAAAGTATATTTTTAAATTTAGAAGAAGAGATAGATATGGAGGCATTAAAATCCCTAACAGAGAACAGTTTAAAAGAATTAATTCCCACTATCGGACCAAGAATAAAATTTTTAAATAAATTAAAAGTGTTTAAAACGGAATGTTTTATTCAAAACGATCCAATAACACCAGAGACGTTAACGCTTTCGTCAGTCTCTTCACCTATAGTAACGGAACATTGTTCACCCTCGGTAAAAATTACATAGATACTTGAACATTTTTACCTAATTTTAGCTTTCAGACATCTGAACCGGTTTTACTAATCGGTAACTTTGAGGGCACTGTTAATGAAACATGTACAGGTAACCGCTATTTTTTTGGTATAACTCAGCATTGTATTTTCAAAAAATTATTATAGTAAGCAAGGATACGCCTTCCTGTAGTACGACAGATGAAGCTTGTCTTATAACTGGGCAGGAATATTATAAGCAGGCCTGCTCTCGCTCTTTTGCGTTTTTAGGTGAAGAAAATTTAAATAGGGCTTGCAGGATGTCATATGACTTGGACTTGCAGCAATTTTTGAATGCGACAAATGCCGGCCGTTTTGTTTTAGAAACTTATTCGAAAACAAAAACATTGACAACAAAAACTAGGAACATGCTAGTGAATTTGATTATTAACAGCGCAATGGCTGAAGCTAGGAACGGGTGCGAAATATGGCTTAAGTGTTTATTAAAACACTACATAATTACAATTTTAGAAAATTAACTGCGGAGGATTTTGAAAATCTGTCTAACAAAATTTGTGATCTTTTTAAATGTGAACATACTGGAACGTATTACATTCCACGTTGTAGTGGAGCAGGGCCATCTAAAAAAAAACCTGTGAATGCGAAAGGGAAACTTGTGGATAAATATAGAAATTTAAAAAGACTGTACAATATTACCAAAGATTATAAAGAAAATTTGGAAACCGATAATGAGTTGTCTAATAATCCTGTTACGGGTAAGCAAAATCACATATTATACTATTATACACTTATCTAGGTATACATTTTATTTTTAATAAATTTTTAAGACGATATGGATGCCAGTGCCAAATGGTTAAAACATTGGAATGAACCTTTTGATACTGTATTATTGCACTGGGATAATTCATTTTATATGCGTCGTAATAGCACGGTAAAAACTGTTGATCAGTTTTTAAGCGAATGGCCAATTTTAAAACATCAAGTAGCTACCGTACTAGTATGTATTTTATTACAAGTAGGTAACCTAAAAATATTTTTTCAAACCTAAAAATTTTAGATTGATACGGATTTTAAAAAAATGTTTCCTAATGCTGCAACCGAAATGTATTTAAAGTGGGAATTATTTTACAACAACCTGTTAGAATGTCCAAATATAAATAAGCCAGATGAAATTATAATGGCACAATTAAAAAATGAAAAATTATCAGAGGGTAAATTATATGTATTTATTTTATCATAAGTTTACTAAAACAATTTCTTTTTTAGATGGTAAGTGTGCCGTCCAAATTACAGCTTTGCCCGTGTTGTTTCCTCCAAAAGGAAGATCAAGAGTTAAGAATAGTCACTGGAAGCCGAGCATATTGGAATGCCAAGAAAGTATTATTAATCATGTTAAGGTCAGTTTTATACATATATCATAACATACTTATCTAATGTATCAAAAAACATTTAGATGAATTTTGTAATAGAATGTTTGAAATTTATGTTTCAGATTTCTGGAGAAATAGAAAATTTTATCACCGAAAGAAGTCATCACTTCAAGGCTCTCAGTAGAACTATCCAACCATATATGATTGTTGTGGGGCCAACAGTATCGGAAGTAACAGAGAGCTATCTGATTATCGACGCCTACATCTACAAAGCAAGTACAACCTTGCAATGTTTTGATTTATTATTTAAGACATTTCATGTACTGTGTGCGGAATACCCCCCTGAAGCAGAACATATTTATTTACTTATCCAAAAAGTAATTTTTGGGGTTTCAACACAATGGGACAAGCAAATACCTTACGTAATGACCCTCGCAAATAGCCTTTCTTTATAATTTTGTATGAACTTTTAAAAATATCTTTGATATAAAAATATGATCATTTGTCCTCTTTGCAGTTTTAAGACTTTAAAGCTCAATAATTTTACCTTGCATATTAAACTGAGGCATAAATATGTCGACAAATTTACTTGTAAACAAAATAGTAATTGTTTCCGGACCTTTCATACTATATTTTCTTTTAAAAAACATTTACGTCATAAACACCCAGAAGATTTAGAAACAACAACAAATGTAGTTACTGCTAGTTTTAATGTGCCACCTAATAACGACACTTCCATTGGGGGGACCAAAGATTCAAGTTTAGTGCCTCCCGATTTTGACTTTTCAGCACAAACTTTTGATTCTTTGTTAAGAGATTCAGTGATACATTTTGTTTCAAAACTTTATAGCGATTATTCTATAACTAGAAATACAATACAAAATATTATAAAAGATGTTAATGAATTATATCTGTTACCCCTGCAATATTTGGAACGGTTAATTAATAGTGCCCAAGAAGAAAATAAATCAATGTTAAAAGATGTGGAGCGACAAATAATTTCATGTTTAAAATATCCTTTCAAAAATTTAGAAACCGAACATCTCCGTATTAAATATTTTCAAGATAACAATGCTTACATTCCTGTAGAAAAAGTTAAAATTGGTGAAAAGAGAAGCAGTGTTAGAAATAATAATAAGAGTATATTAGAATCAACAGAATGTCATGCATGTTACGTTTSAATAGAAAAAACTTTAAAAGCCTTTTTAGAGATTCCGGACGTATACGAAACAATTTATTCTTATAGTTTAGAATTACRTCAGAGTCAAACTAATATAATTTATAATCTTATACAAAGCGATTTATGGCTCCGAATTAAATCAAATTTTRAAAATAAACTAGTTTTTCCTATATTACTTTATTTCGACGATTTCGAAGTGGGGAACCCTTTAGGTTCACATGCTGGCGTACACAAAATTGGTGCAATATATTTTAGCTTAGCCTGTATACCTCCCGAATTTTCTTCGCGTTTGGAAAATATTTTTCTTGTTCAACTTAATTTTGCGGATGAACGAAAATCTTTTGGAAATTTTTCAACTTACAAATATTTAATACATGAATTAAAAAAACTTGAAACATTTGGCACAACTATAAATACAAACGATGGACCACTTCAGGTATATTTTTGTTTGACGTTAATATTAGGCGATAATTTGGGAGTACATTCTTTGCTAGGATTTAATGAAAGTTTTGTTTCTACACATTATTGCAGATTCTGTAGAATTGATAAAATTTCTAGTCAGCAACAGTGCATTGAAGATTCTAGTTTAAACAGAAATCGCGAAAATTACGACGTAGATCATACAAATTTTTCTTATGGAATCAAGGAATTTTGCATATGGAACGAACTTAAGTACTTTCATGTAGCTGACAATGTTGCTGTAGATGTTATGCATGATATTTATGAGGGGGTCTGTCGATATGATTTGGGTTATATATTGTATCATTTCATTTATATAGATAAGTTTTTTGACTTAGATACTTTAAACAGGCGGTTGTCATATTTTCATTTCGATATATCTGAAAATAAACCACCTGCTATATTAAAAAGTCAAATTATTAAGCAACATATTATAATGTCAGCATCAGAAATGAAAACCTTTACAAAATATTTATCTTTAATATTAGGAGATCTTGTACCTTATGACAACCAATTATGGCAAATTTATTTGCTTTTATTTAAAATTACTGAAATTGTTGAACAAAAAAGTGTTTCATTTGAGCATGGAAGATTGTTGCAGTCCTTAATTGAAGAACACCATTCTTTATACATTCAATTTATTGGTAATCTTAAACCAAAACATCACTTTTTGGTGCACTATCCACGTTTGTTAACTTATATAGGTCCCTTAAGTAATGTGTCGTCAATAAGATTTGAAGCAAAACATCGAAACTTTAAATCCACTGCAAATGTCGTTGCTTCCAGACGAAATACTCCGTACACTTTGGCCTTAAAAAATCAATTAGTAATTTGTCATCGTGTACTTGCGAAAAAAGGATTTGTAGACAATTTTGATTATGGTCCAACTGACACCGAAACGTTTAAGTTGTCTGAAAATTATGCAGCTTTTGAAAACCAATATGGAAAATCTGTTGSCGAAAACTCAGTTTTGACTTCATGGGTAAATAAGTGTAATGTGAAGTTTCACTCTGGTAATATGATAATTGTTAATTTTGATAATTTTATGCCTCAGTTTGCAAAAATTAAATTTATTCTTATACATGAGAATT